TTTTTCTTAAAACAAGCAAAATAATTTGCCAATGGGGTAAGCAAAATAATCTTAAGGAAGAACAACAAACTTTTAATTTTTTTATTTTTAGATATTTGGACTACAAATGAGACAAAAAAAAACTAAGTAAGAAAAGCATTTTTTTTGCAGTGTCCTTAATGTTATATTTCTTCAATAATTTATTTATTCATTTTCCTTTAGCTTAGTCTTAGTCTATTTTAGAGGTCGCCACAGCAGACCACTGAGCCAAGCCGCCTATAGTTAACATAATTTATTTTAAAAGAATTTTGATAAGTTTATGCAATCATATACCTTAAACCTTTTAATGGCAGTCTACATACACTTTAATTTACTATAGTTTATTCAATATTTATATATATATATGTATAAAAAAGATTCCAGCTGCATGTTTACTTTCTTATATAAAGGTGTTCAAAAGCCAGCAGAGCTGTTTTCATAGTAAAGAAAATTAGAACTTTTAGGGTGTATTTCTCTTCATATGTAAAAGCATGTCAAAATTAAGACAAACTAGTCAAAGCACCTCTAGCAAAATATTAAGATTAAACAGACAGTTTTTTAAAAGCCACTCTTATAGCCACCCCTGTGTGATATTAATATCTTAAACTAAAACTATATGTTTATATATATATTCTAAGCATACCTATTTTTACTCTTTTAATTGGATGGACTAATTTTTTTTTTCCTATATTGTTTCATTCTGACCCAGTTTCAGAGACAAATGAAATATTACTTCAAATATTCTAAAAATACACTTAATATACACATAAATTCACTTAAAGATCAAATTAAATACATCATATAAACTACTTGTGCATTTAAAGTTTACTAATGTTACTTATAGTTATAGTACACTTAGATTAATTGTACTATATACTAAAAGTGGGATTTAGTCCCAAGTAGTAATCAGTTAGTACACTGACAATATTGAATACTTACTTAGGCAGTAAAAACTTTAATATTACTTCAGTATATTTTTTTCGTAAGGGCATCAATGACCAAAAATATTCAATGATAAAATCTCAAGAGCGTAGATTCGCTCTTGACATTGGTGGGGCCATACATTCCCAGAGCGCATGCATTTAACAGCAGAAATTCAGTTTTGCACTTAAAAACATGAATAAAGAACTTAATATTATAAAATAAACGCTTCCTAATATAAATAACAATCACGTCCCATGCTGCAATAGTCAAGTTGATTTGACTGCAGTCGGGCTTTGAGGAGGTAAGAATGTTGAGAAATTTAGAGAGGTGTGTGACGCAATTTAACAGTTTTATCTCGATTGTTGATTTTCATAATTATGGAGGCCAAAATCAAAACCGAATTTAGATTAGTTGATTAATAGTATTATAATGAACTCGTAGTGAACTTGACTTTGTGCACGTGTAGGTTACTAAGGGTTAACGGAGTCATTTAAGTCAATTAATTATTGGTAGGGACATTCAGTAATTGGTGGTTATTGGTGGGGAAATGTCCCCTCGGTCCATGCCAATTCTACGCCCTTGATAAACCTCTTTTAGTGATATACCAAATTTGACCCCAGAAGCCAAAGTTTTGCTGCTTAGTATGTTTTAGTGTGGTATATTTGCATTGCATTCTAACAGCAACAGAAATTATATTTTCCAGCAGCGACACTCTCCATCAGGTCAGTGTTTGAATTTAAGCAGGAAAATAAATGATTGTGACATAGCATCACCTGGTGGCTAAACACCTTTACTGTGGCATCAGCCACTTCAACACAAACATTTTACACTGTTCACAATCTGTGGATTTAAGCCTGTTTTTCCCCTTTTGTCTTAAGCTTTATATGCTGGATTTTCAGTTCCTTTTATTGTTTCTCATTATTCATAACTGAATAGTTGTTTGATCAAAGCTGACAGAAGAGGCATTTTTATCGAAACACACCCAGTATGTGGCATCCACCTTAAATCCTAGAATGAATCACAGTGACACCTCAAATACACTCCGGTTCATGATCAATGATCTGTGTGTATGACCTGTTCATGCTGAACTAGATTTGTTGTTCTTTCTTGACACTTGTTTAAAGGTATAGTTAATATGATGGCATAATTCACTCAGACAGATAAAAATTACTTGCTTTGTTTTGTGGAATACAAAATGAAAAATATTGAATGAAGGTCTTTTTAACCCAAAGATTTTACCCAAATTTGGCTGGAAACAACCCAGTGTTGTATGGTAAATAAAGTTAAAAGCTTAATGAACCTTTGTTTTAAAGAGTGTGCTAGCTGAAACAGCTGCTGTATGGTTTCGTCATACATGAAAACTGAACGTAACCTGGCTTTTTGAGCTCCAAAACTGGCTTACAACAATGTAAAAAATAAAAATCTGAATAAAAAAATAGCATAGCATAGAAAAGATGTTCATATTGGTCAACTTAAGAATAAAGCATGTCACATCATATTATGCATGTAACGTCATATTATGTTTAAGATGATTATTATTATGGCCATTTTTACAGACAACTGTGCATTTTATTAACTTTACCATACTAATGCGCTATACTGTTTTTAAATTTAAAACCACATATGAAAGTGGCACAAATCAGAATTAAAAAGATTATATTCAATGCTTGTTCACACTGTCTTGACAAAAACAGACGGGATGTGAGCAAAAAAAAAAATTGTTGTCAAATGGCGGATTGTTAAAAACAGTAGACGTACATGACAAATAATAATGTCAGATTCACAGTATTACCCAGATGAGCTATGACTGAATTGGACACACAATGGATTTCTCAAAGACAGTAGAAGCAACACAACACTGGTAGGTAACATGATAGTGATGGATATTATTACGTATATTTGGAATTCATTCTCATCTTCATACAAGATCATAGCATTTTTGTATTTTTAAACTATGTACATATTCAAAATGAGTACCTATGAAGTGTGTAAATTTAGACAGAGCCTTTATTCTAAGCAATTGCTTTGTTTTTCAATGCTTTGTTTTTGTTTCCTAAGTTTTGTTTGTTGTCATAGTTACTGATTAAGTAGCACAGCTGTTTCTTGTTGAGTGTGGTTTTCTTAGCTCAGTGTCAGGTATTTATCTTTGCATGTGTTCGAAAATCATAAATCTCTTGCATTTTACTCTTCCAGTTATCCGTTTAACATGTAGCCATCATTCTCCACAAAAGACTACAGTGCCAAGCCCAGGTACAGCATGTTTAGGTCTAATCTTTTCAGTCATCTAAATCGTATGTTTGCTCTCTCATATAAATGTTCTCGAGCTCTTGCAACATATATTCTAGCAAAAAAAAATACGTCAAGATGAGATGATAAATCTGGAAAAGCAGCATTCTGATGTACAAGCCACCTTACAAAAAGCAGTTTTAATGTTTTGTTTTATTTTCAGATTAAAAGTGAAACTAACTTGGTTAATAAGATTGTACATTATGAAGAATTCAAAAATACACATTTCACATGTTTAAAAAAAACAAGAAATAACAGAGAATAGAGTAAACTGATAAGCATGTTACATGAGGAGAAAATTAGTTTGTTGTTGTCATATTGAACACTGTGAACTTCTGGTGTGAGAGTCATTCTACACATCTCATTAGAAACACACACTTGTTTACCTACTGGTGTCAGTTGTTCAGGTATTTCTTTCACATAAAACTTGTCACATCAAGGAGACATCATACATCGATATAAAAGTAACTAAAACCTTGTTTTTATGCCATGTGACTTTCACAGCTCTATGCTCCTAAGATGTTCATAAAAACAGCCTATAGACAAGACGGCCACTTTATTAGGTACACCTGTCCAACTGCCTATTAACACGATTTTCTAATCAGCCATTCACGTGGCAAAAACTCAATGCATTTAGGCATATAGACATGGTCAAGATGATCTGCTGCAGTTCCAACCAAGCATCAGAATGGGGAAGAAAGGTGATTTTAGTGACTTTGTTGGTACCATACGAGCTGGTATGGGAATTTTAGAAACCACTGATCCATCTCTAGGGTTTACAGAGAATAGTCCAAAAAAGAAAAAGTATCTAGTGAGTGGCAGGTCTGTGGGCACAAATGCCTTGTTGGAGAATGGGGAGAATGGCCAGACTGGTTCGAGCTGATAAAAAGGCAACAGCTACTCAAATAACCATTCGTTACAGCCAAGGAATGCAGAAGAGCTTCTCCGATTGCACAACATATTGAACCTTGAGGCAGAGGGGCTACAGCAGCAGAAGACCACACCGGGTGCCACTCATGTCAACTAACAGGAAACTGGGGCTACAATTCACACAGGCTCACCAAAATTGGTCAATAGAAGATTGGAAAAACGTTGCCTCGTCTGATAAGTCTCGATTTCTGCTGCAACATTCGGCTGCTAGGGTCAGAATTTGGCGTCATCAACATGAAAGCATGGATCCATCCTGCCTTGTATCAACAGTTCAGGCTGCTGCTGGTGGAGTAATGGTGTGGGGAATATTTTCTTGTCACTCTTTGGGCCCATTAGTACCAACTGAGCATCCTGTCAATACTACAGCCTACCTGAGTATTGTTGCTGACCATGTCCATCCCTTTATGACCACAGTGGACCCATTTTCTGATGGCTAGTTCCAGCAGGATAATGCACCATGTCATAAAGCATGAATCATCGTAGACTGGATACTTTAACATGACAATGAGTTTACTATACTCAAATGGCCTCTACAATCACCAGATCTCAATCTAGTAGAGCACTTTTGGGATGTAGAATGGGAGATTTGCATCATGGATGTTCAGCCGACAAATCTGCAGCAACTGTGTGATGCTATGATTTTAATATGGACCAAAATCTCTGATGAATATTTCTGGTACCTTGTTAAATCTATGCAATGAAGGATTAAGGCAGTTCTTAAGGCAAAAGGGGGTTCAACCAGGTACTAGTAAGTTGCACCCAATAAAGTGGCCGGTTTGTATTGTTGCTTAGATGTGTTTTGAATTGCACATTGTATTTATTTATTTATTTTTTATCTAATTTTGACAGAAATGTCTGTGATTTCAACAAAAAATACATGGATGGAAGATTTGTAATTTTTCTACTAAATTATTTACTTGCACAACTACTTAGAGTAAGATGCCATTGCTAATTACAGGGCATAATTCAAGTAAAAGTCCTTCACTAATTCTCTAGGCCACAACAGATATCTAATTTGTTGACGCACAACAAGACATTTGACCGAGTCCCACACCTGGGTGTGTTTGTTTTAGAGAAGCATTTGATTTTCCGATAAATAAAAATGCGATGATAAGAATTCTTGATAACTCAGTCCAGGGCAGGAAATGTCACAGTTTGATTCTAAAGAGCATAAAAATGTTGCCATTCGGGTTCTGAAGGACAAGCGTTCATACCCACCTGTTCCTGGGAAACAAAATGTCCTCTCCCCTCCCCCAAAGACTGGCAGGTATTTATAGATTTTTGAAATCTGACAAAGTCACAGTCAAAAGCTTGAGTCGTTTACTTGTCTCCCACTTTGGCGTTTCAGTTTGACCAGGACAAAACCATGTCTTTCACTTCTAACTCCAAAACTCTCAGCGTGTATGGAGGAGCTGGTGGTCGGGGAACCCGAATCTCATCCCCCGCCGGGTTTCTTAATTCTTCTCCAAGAGGCTTTAATCTGGTTGATGGCTTAGACTTATCTGCTGATAAAAAGGCCACCATGCAGAATCTGAATACTCGTCTGGCCTCCTACTTGGAGAAGGTACGCTCACTGGAGAAAGCCAATACTGAGCTAGAGCAGAAGATCAGTGACTGGTATGATAGTCACGATGACGTCACATTCGACCACACAAACTTCCAGGACACCATCCAGGATCTGAGGAATGAGGTTAGTTATTATAAAACTTTCTTCCACCATGCATTCATATCTGCAACTGATCATCAAAGCTGGAAAAGCCGTTGCTAACTCAAAAACGTCACTTTAGAACTTAGTATTTTAATTATTTCAATGCTCTGTATTGTCTTTATTTTGTCTGTTTACTTTGCCACATCCACAAACCAAATATTGCCTTTAGATGTACCAAAAAATTAATGATATTGCACATATAACTAGAGACATCTATCAGACTCCAAAATACTGACATTAGGCACGGTTTCCTTAAATCAACCCCAAGCTAAATTGTCCCCCTCCCCTCTACCCCGATGGCCCACACTCACCCTGCATTTATACCTTCCAGCCTGAGAATTCTTACATCATAGAGGATGCAACTGTTTAGTTAAACAGAAATGGAAGTGCTCTCACTCACTCACTTGTTTTGCATCATTTTAAGTCGCTTGGGATGCACATATTAGGAGGTTTGCTGAAGTTGGCAGATGAAGTGCAGCATGACTCTATAACTGTTTGTGTTACTTGAAACTAAGAATGAGTAATAAATCAATATGAAGCAGTCCTTAAACATCGTGTTGTTTCTTCAGTTTTATGATTGGGCAAAGTCAACAAAACCATGCCTTGGCCATTTAAAAAGCAGGTAGCACATTTTGATGACCAGATTTTGCTACCAGTATAAATTTTATTGACCTACCTAATGCCTAACCCCAACCTCAGACCCATTCAAATACAGTGTTGATAGCATAATCAGATAAGTAGGATAAAATGTCAGGACACCTGCTAATCAAAGCACTCACAATTGGAAGATGAACCAGGATTTGGGGATTAAACATAAATGGATCAGATAACCAAGTGTGTGTACACCCAAGTTTCCATCAGAAGGGTCCTTATGCTACGCACAGATGAAGAAGCTGCAACAGTGCTGATACTTGTTGAATACTCGTGGCCAATCAGATTTGAAAAACAGAAAGAATTGTTGTGTGTACATATACACAACCTGACAAAAGTCTTGTTGTCGATCATAGTTGAAAGAGAAAGGTTGATCATTTGGAAACATAGCAGAATGTGGATTTTTCCAATAAATCATGTTAAACTGCACCCAAATAATCGCAAATACTGCAAAAGACCTATTGGAACCCACATGGACCAAAGATTCTCGCAGAAATCAGTCAAGTTGGTGAAGGAAAAATCATGGATTGGGGTTACATTCAGTATGGGGCGTGCAAGATATCTGCAGAGTGGATGGCAACATCAACAGCCTGAGGTATCAAGACATTTGTGCTGCCCATTACATTACAAACCACAGAAGAGGGCAAATTTTTCAGCAGGTCAGCAGTCCTTCTCATACTTCAGCCTCCACATCAAAGTTCCTGAAAGCAAAGAAGGTCAAGGTGCTCAGGGATTGGCCAGCCCAGTCACCAGACATGAACATTATTGAGCATGTCTGGGGTAAGATGGAGGAAGAATTGAAGATGAATCCAAAGAATCTTGATGAAATCTGGGAGTCCTGCAAGAACGCTTTCTTTGCCATTCCAGATGACTTTATTAATAAGTTATTTGAGTCATTGCAGAGATGTATGGATGTAGTCCTCTAAGCTCATGGGAGTCATACACAATATTTATCACTTTATTTTCTATACTGGACATTATTTCTTTTACGTGATAAGACTTTTGTCTAAGCAAAGTCAGGCCTTGCTGTCCTATCTAAATAATTAAAAATCAAGACATGATCATGCTTTATTTAATTTCATATAAGCTACTTTTGATACCAAATGATCAACTAAGTTATTATTTGTTTTTCTAAAACTTGGACTTTTGTCAGGTAGTGTATATCAGCATCAATGCCAGTTCCTTGAAGAACCTTACATTGGAGAGGTTTTAACACAAATTTTTTTATGATCTGAAGAACTTTTAGATTATAAAAAATTCCTTTTGTGGATTAAAAAATGCCAAATAATACTACATTTTTAAGAGTACAGCACAATATATAGAATACTGCTTTATATGCTTAGTATGACTAAAACTATGAAGCAAAGTAACGTAATAGCTTATTAAGTACATACAGTATTTTTTACTTGGCAAACATGTTCAGAAACAGACTGAACAAGATTTTATCAGGTTTGTGGCCTATGCTGAATTCCACAGACACACAGAAAACTGCTCTGAAAATAAAACAACTCTAGGTGCCAGATAATTTATTGCGTAACAAGACAAGTCATTAGGAATTCAATGTTGCGGGGGCATATTTTCTGTAAACTCCCAAAAAGACTGACAAGTCCTTGGCACATGCTGTTTAGAGTATGTAGAATCATTTGTGTTAGGCAGTAAATATCCTTTTACTATATTTATATTTTACCTGGCAGTTTAACACACGTTCCCAAGACAATGCCAAACTCATCCTGGAAGTGGATAATGCCAAACTGGCTGCTGATGACTTCAAACGAAAGTGAGAAACTGAATATTCATGTCTTGGAATTGATTTAACTGATCATTAATTGGTAAATAAAATTATGAATCATCATCATTCTTAGATATGAAAATGAACTGGCCATGCGTCGGGAAATTGAAGCTGATACTGGAAATCTGAGGAAAATCCTGGATGAGTTTAGTTTGAGTCGTTCGGATCTGGAGTTGCAGATTGAGGCTCTGAAAGAGGAATTCATCGTACTGAAGAAAAACCACAAGGAGGTACGATATATCACACTTATTTCCCATCTTAACCTGCATCTGTGAAGAAACATCAGTGGGGCTTTATGGTTCAATTTGTAAAAACTCTTTTTTTAATTTCATCCAATTACACATAAGTCACTTGACTGGTGTTTAGATCAACAGTGTTTTATTATATACTCTTTAAAAAGAAAAATCTAGCACTTATGTTACCATGACAGGAATTCTATTCGGGGCATTGAACATGAGCATGGTCATTCAGATATTCCACCCACAAATTGATTCCTGTTTTACACAAAGCTGTTATGTAAGCCCAAAGACGGAAACATTTCCACTGCACTGTATACAGTAAATATCACCATGGTGAAGTGGTTTGGTGATGTGGTTTGTGTGTAAACAAAGCATATTTTGTGTCTTTCTTTCCATTACATTAAAACTAACAAGTTTGCCAACCTTTTTATTATTCATTTTTTTTCCCTGACTAAAGTATATTTTAAATATAGAGTTAAAGGCAAGATTATAAGCCTTCCTTTGGAATTTGGATTATTTTTAAAATACGATGTTAACATAGTAAGAAAATTTGCAAAGTATTACTATAATATTGTTTATTCGGAAAAACAATGGTTGCTCATAGTTTGGCTGGGGGGGGGGGGGGTGACTGAAAAAACTGAATCAATATTTAAAGGGAGTATTGTTAAACCCCTTGGGTTGGCTACAGCAGGGGTCCCAAACACGACACCTAAAATAGCAATGCCAGTGACTCCCGACCCCCAATATCTTCTGAGGGGGTTATAAATACAGAAACCTTGCATGCAATGGCGCGCACACACCAATAGCCCCAAGTCTATTTTTCGTTGAGTTTTTTTGTAATATGTGAGTGCTGTAGATGTGCCAGACATTTTAACCTGGTGTTATAAAATCAATCTGCTTCAACTGACGCTATTGCTTTGTCTTTAATATAATGTAATTACCCCAGGGGTTGCAATCCAAAAGAACAAGTAACTACAAGCTATAGTAACTATATACAGGAGTGTATTGTAACTATAAATGACTATTTTTTCTTTTCAGTAGGTTATGGATAAAATATTGTAATTATTATGGTTTAATAAAAATAAATAGATTTTTAGTAATCACCAGGCAACCACCCCCCCCCCCCCCCTCATTGTCCTGCGACCCCTCGGGGGGTCCCGACCCCCACTTTGAGAACCTCTGGGCTACTGAACAGTCTAAAGATTTGCCTAGTTATAATCTAACTTGCATAGTTAATCTAATTAACCTAGTTAAGCACTTTAATTACACTTTAATCAAGCAAAATAACTAGAAAATATTATATACTATCATCATGGCAAAGACTAAATTAATTAGTTGATAGAAATTAGTTTTTGGCACTCTTGTGAATATGAATATGTGAATGTTGTTGAATAAATGTCACTGTTAAACATCATTCGGCAAATGTTTTTTAAAGTATACAAATTTCACAGGAAGGCTAATAATTTGTACTTCAACTGTATGCTATTATATATAATATTTTGTAACTGTAAGGGTCAATAAAATAAATTTTTAAATAAAATAATTTCACATAATAAATATTTTTTTCTAAATATGTTTTAGTGTATGCTTAAGATGAAAATATGTTAAAGGTTTTGATTTAGAAGAAACAAGTTGAGAAATAGCTTACAGAACAGAGCAGCATAAATGTAACTAATATATAACTTTTCAAATAAAGCTGAGATTTTTGTCTAGATGTGTGACAATATTTGTTTTTCGCTTGTTTAAAGTAGACAGTTTAGAATCCAAATAAAGATTTTCCTAAAGGATCTTAAATATATGTTAAAGTATTTTCTTAGAAAAATGTAGGCAAATCCATTCTAAAGGCTTTTAAATATTATTGTTAAAATATATTTTAAAAAATACAAAAAGAGCAAAAATGTGCTTGTTAAAATTTTTTACGGTATTTGCAACATATTCAGTTTTATTTTATTTTATTTTAAAAGAAATATTTAAAAATATATTTTTTGCTCTAATGGATTGTTTTATGTTGTTACTTATCTATCATAATTATCCAAATTACTTTTCACAGCTACAAATGGTCGTTTTAAATATTATGTTTATGAATTGCTACATTAGCATTCGTGATCCATGAAATTTTCTACAAGGGGATACAAAGTAGCACAAGGCTGATCTTGGAGTTTGTACTTTTGAAAAGTGACATTCAGTTGCTTTGTCATGACAAATTAGTTCCCATAGACAACACTCAGCAGATAGCAGTACTGCTCAGAGGGAGTTTATACCTTCTGAAAAATCTCAACTCAACTGAAAAGTAAAGTTATGGATCGTTTCCTAAAGTGAGAACTCCTCAAATACCAGCCCTCCAACAAACAGACAGAAACACACCCACACAGAACACAGGACAAATCCTCCGGAAATTACAGACTCGTAACTGATATCTAAGTACAATATTGACTCATATTGATACACAATATTGATAACAGTAGCACTCAATCTTTAAAGCTGATACTTTTAGATTTCAGTGAATGCTGCTAAAGCACAGATAAAAGTGTAAGGAGTCCTTCAACAGTTCAAAAGAGGCTTTTTTGCTGTTGTTTTTAGAATTCACATACACATTTCAAAAAAAAAAAAAAGATTTTGTACAAGAGTATTTCTCTAAACCTGCTGTAGATGGAAAGAACATTTATTTTTCTCCCCTTATAAAAACATGTGAAAGACAGATTGGTTAAGGTTAAGTTACTATAGCGGCCCATTCTGTTAGTGGCCTTTTCAGAGATAAGAGTTTCCACACCAGAAAAACACACACACAGGGTCATTAAGAGTGTTTCTTCCTTCCTTCGATTTTCCCTTTTTCCTTTGGTTCTGCTGCTGCTGCTCTGCTGGGGATTTCCGTTCCATTACATCATTATAAACTAAACAGTATTATCACTTGAGCTTCACGGGTCTACAAAAGGTCATCCATCATTCATGTATAAACAAAATTAGACACATACACATAAAACTAAAAAGCTTGATTTAATTGCCAATGTATGGAATTCTTCTATAAAATCAACAAATAGTGATATTGTTAAATTACACTTAAAGGGATAGATCACCTGAAAATGAAAATTTACTTACATATTTACTCTTCTTCAAGTGGTTCCAAACCTTTGTGAGTTTTCTTTTCTTCAGTTGAACATAAAAGAAAATATTTTGAAGGTAAATAAAAACCTGTAGCCATTGACTTTCATAGAAGGAAAAGCAAATATATAAAAACTCAATGGTAACATTTTTCAAAATATCTTCTTTTGATGTTAGAAGAAATAAACTCACAAAAGTTCGAAACAAGTGCGAGTAAATAATGACAAATTTTGGGTGAACTATTCCTTTAAAATCTCACTTGAAGTAAAGATTAGATTTCACTCTTCTGAAATTGTTCAAACATGTTCGGGATTAAAAGACTAGCTCATCCCACCACTCCCATGGCTTTTAAATTGATTTTAATCTACAGATAGAACATTAGTAGCATGTCTGCATCATATTACAATCCATCTCAGTGCCAGATCACACACTTTCTGACTTGTGCTTTTACAGAATATCACCTTGACTATTGAGACTGGCGGTCAGGTGAATGTCTCTGTGGACGCAGCGCCCTCTATGGATCTGAATCAGGCCATTGATGAGATCCGACAACACTATGAGACTGTGACACAGAAAAACCGTGAAGAGCTGGAGTCCTGGTATGAAAGCAAGGTGAAGTAAAAAAAAAAAAAAAAAAACTCTTGCACTCAACTAGTTTGAATTTTTTTTACTACTACTACTTACTACTATTTAATACTAGTATTTGGTTTTACCACTGCTACTGCAAAAAGTTTTTAATTAAACCATGGCAACCACAAATGAACCACTGATAATTAAATGTATAATTTAACCATGGTGCTTGTAGTAAAAGGTATGGTTATACAGTTTTTGTTTGTTTGTTTTTTTAGCAATTGTTATTGTTGTTATGCAAAGAAAGAACACTTTTACAAAAAAAAAAAAACTACATCAGGAACAAAGAGGGTTAAATAAGTTCAAATCACAGGAAAGGATGTATGTTTATAAGACTTACCCCCCAAAAGGACTCTTAATATGCAATAGAATTTTGAAAATTTCATAGAATTCACATACACATCAAAATCTATTCTGAGAATAAAAATTTGTTTTTTTTGTGTGTGTGAAATTTTAAGGTAAAATTTAGTAAGACAAGGCAATAAATTAATAATATGTTAATAATGAGAAGTGTCTAGTTTCAATATAGGCATATATATAGAAGTTGGAAGTATAAAATGCTTCACACTGTTTTCCCACTATAAGTTCCATACTTTCTCCATTAAATCAAAGTTCAATACCCATTATTTTACTTAAGTCTATTAAACTACAGGTGTGAAAATAATAGATTTGCTGAATTTGAGTTTTCAGTTTAACCCCATAGATTTAGTCACTCATCCATGATTAATAAAATAAAATGGCTTTGTAGCCCTGCAAAAAAAAAAAAAAAAAAGCACCTTCTTACTTTGAGTTTTTGTCTTATTTCTCATCCAAATATCTAATATCTGATCATTCTTAAGTGAAGAAGCATTTTCTAGACTAGCAAAAATAATCTCTTGAGTAATAAATCAATAATAAATCAAAATGAATTGATTTTTATCTTAAAACAAGCAAAATAATCTGCCAGTGGGATAAGCAAAATAGTTTCTTGTTTTTCCTTTGAAATAATATTATTTTGCTTACCCATCAATGGATTGTTTTGCTTGTTTTAAGTAAAAACGTACCTCATTTTGACTTAATATTTCAGAAACAGACAAAACAATTAACTTTTCAAGAAATGCTTCTTGATTTAAGAATTTTTACATATTTGGACTAAAAACCAGACAAAAACAAGCATGGGAAGCATGTTTTTTTTTTTTTTTTTTTTTTTGCAGTGAGTGGAATGCAGTGCACATGTTATTATACAGTTAGAAGTCAGAATTATTAGCCCCCTTTGAATTTTTTTTTCTTTTTTAAATATTTTTCCAAATGATATTTAATATAGCAAGGACATTTTCACAGTCTGATAATATGTTTTCTTCTGTAGAAAGTCGTATTCGTTGTATTTCGGCTAGAATAAAAGCAGTTTTTAATTTTTTAAAAACCAGTTTAAGATCAAAATTATTAGCCCCTTTAAGCTAAATATTTTTCGATAGTCTTCAGAACAAACCCTTATTATACAATAACTTGCTCAATTACCCTAACCTGCCTATAGTTATCCTAATTAACCTAAGCCTTTAAATGTCAATTTAAGCTGTATAGTAGTGTCTTGAAAAAATATCTAGTCAAACATTATTAACGGTCATGATGACAAAGATCAAAAAATCAGTTATTTTTTAATTACTCATTTAATCAATGAGTAATTAAAACTAATATGTTCAGAAATATGCTGAAAAAACCTCTCAGTTAAACAGAAATTAAGGGAAAAAATAACAGGGACTAATAATTCAGGGGGTTAATAGTTCTGATTACAACTTTAGTTGTTTTATCATTTTTATATTAACCACAGATGGCACCAATGCAACAGGAGGTGAGCAATCATAATGAAGAGCTTCAGGACAGCAGAACTGAGCTAAAGGACTTAACAAGCACCTTACAAAGACTGCAGATTGAGCTGCAAACCCATCAGAGCATGGTAAACCTGTACACACTTACAAACACACAATTGATTTTATTGCAAAAGAAGAAGAAGAAGAAGAAGAAGAAGAAGAAGAAGAAGAAGAAGAAGCAATGCAGCATGGTTAAAAGTCTGTGGCAACATGTCTAGGCAGAACGTGCTGTGCCAGGCTGTTTCAACTGTCCGTGAGTTCCAGCCTCACCCCTTTTAGTTCGCCAACCAGAACTTTGCCAGCTTTACAGCAGTCAGGGGAAATGTGCTGTAATTTCCTTTGCTTACTCATTTGGAAGGACAAGAGATAGACTGTTTAAACAGGAGATAGTGTCTACAAAAATATCTGTTTTACACTTGCACCAAATAACATTCAACAATGCTGCGTGTGAATTTTGTCCAGTAAATTACAAATCATTCATTATTATTATTAATCTAAATATATGCATGTATATAAATTCACAGAAGTCAAACCTTGATGGGCAACTAGAGGACACAGAGGCCCGCTATGGGAACCAGTTGGCTGGGCTTCAGACCACTGTTTCCAATCTGGAGGACCAGCTTAGCCAATTTCACGCTAACATTGCTAACAACAAAGAAGAGTACGAAACCCTGCTGGACGTAAAGACCAGACTGGAACGTGAGATTGCAGAATACAGGAGACTGCTGGATGGAGAAAAGAGGTGATGCTTGCGATATTCATTCATAATAATCTTATGATTTAATGGATGCTGACTTTTGTGGAAAGACATGTTTAATTAATGCTTTACTAATACTATCTCACAATCTTTTTTTCAGTGAGAACCACAGTAAGTGAATATCTATAGTGAGTAAAACAATGATAAACAAGGTATAAATGCATTATATGACTGTGAAGCATTGGAGTGCACTGCTGATTAGACATTTTCTCACTGTCTTTTAGAACTTCTCACCAAAACCATCACAGTGATGGAAACCATTGTGGATGGGAGGATTGTGGAGAGCAGCGAGACTGTGGATGTTCTTGAACTTGATGACTAATCTAGACTAATCTTTTCAAAAAAGCAGTTCAAATGAGGACATCATTTGTATTACTAATCCTTTCTGTTCAAACCCAGGGTGCTTCAGCTGTTTCAGAAGACATACCCTTCACTGACACTGAACTGACACTGTCTTAATTCACTATAATCTTCTATGTGAAGTTGCTTTGACACAACTACATTGTAAAACTGCTATAGAAATAAAGATTAATTCAATTGAATTGAACAAAGGTCCAGGATTAGTCCCATAATGAGCTCATTTGTCCTATTTTAACTGCTATGCCATCATAAATAGTAAAAATAACCCATCAAAAAAGAACAAGCGGAATCCTATGTTGGCTGTGATTTCAGTTAATTAGATTTGGTCAATGCTAATAAATATTTGTATGAGTCCAACATCCAACTGTCTTTCGCTACTGTATTTTAAAATAGATGAAGCATTTTACAAGTAACTTTTATTCTAAATTTCTTAGCAATATTTTTTATTGAAATGGCCAAATTCCGACTGAGGAAAGTTGAATGTGCTGGTCAGTTTGTTGTTTGTTTAATAACTGACAATAGGCCGCAGTTTTTAATTTAAAACTTTTTTTCTAATGATATATGATAATAAATTTGTATTTTAAAAATAAGTATTTTATATTTTTTTTACATGTCTTTTATTCTAAATTTTTAGGAAATATTTTTATACTTTTATATTATATCAACAAATGTGGTTATGATGACCATCCAACAAGCCAAGCCAGTCACACAAAATTAAGAAACCGGAAACTGAAAAGATGCGTGTACATGATGATTTAAGAGCGTTTTTGACATTAAGATGAAATGTTAAGTTTTACATTGTTGAAAACAGTTATTCAAAAGTATATATTAAATGTGAAATATTTTTATTTGTGAATATATAGTCAGTGAAACATTTTTCAGTGTTTATTTAACTCATTTGCTCATTATCTCATTCATTCATTCATTTTCTTGTCGACTTAGTCCCATTATTAATCCGGGGTCGCCACAGCAAAATGAACAGCCAACTTATCCAGCAACTTTACGCAGCAGATGCTCTTCCAGCCACAACCCATCTCTGGGAAATATCCACACACACACATTCACACTACGGACAGTTAGCCTACCCAATTCACCTGTACCACATGTCTTTGAACTGTGAGGGAAACTGGAGCACCCGGAGGAAACCCACACAAGGGCAGGGAGAACATGCAAACTCCACACAGAAACACCAACTGAGCCGAGGTTCAAACCAGCAACCCAGCAACCTTCTTGCTATGAGGCGACAGTACTACCTACTGCGCCACTGCCTCACCCTTGCTCATTATCTGTTTTCTTTTAAAGTCTTTAAATTTGATATTAAGACTTGAAGGGCAAATAATTAATTTAATGTATAGGGCATATCATTCAATAAATATAATTCAATAAATATCACCTAATTAATTACATAAATTAACATCTGCACTGAACAAAATGTTTAGCACAGCCTTGTTTGCTTAATTTGAACAAGAAAAAAAATCATTCTAAAACATTAAATACATATTTTAGTAAGCAAAACTTTTACTTTCTTAAGCATCAACAAATTGTTAAAACACCAATTATTTTTTTGTGATTGTATTTCTTTACAAATAATGCTTCAGTTAATGATCTGCCAGAAAGAACCACATAATTCTAGGTAGAAAATGACTTTTTAGAAGTAAAAGTTTCTTTCTGCATTTGCCTTGTTTTTTTTTTTTTTAGCCCAATTTGTACATTTAAGGGAATTTGGATAATTTACATTTAGAGTACATTTAGGGTCTCTGTCATGTTAATGTACGAAAGAGAACTGTTGGACGCATATTGTTTGCTGTATGGAATGTAAAACTTGAAGGTCAACATCTTAAAATCATTTAGAATGCAGACAGAACCTTATGATTCCAGGGCGATAATATGTCAAATGAAATGTATTGCATCACAATTTGTATTCAAGAAATGTGAATCAAGAATGTTCATACTGGCTTAAAGCAGTAAAAACACCCACAACCATTTTTTTGTGCCATCACTGATTTTATTCTCAACATCAGTCCCTGAAGACTGGTGAGACAGGTGAAGAGCAGTGTTTGATTTGGTGTTTATTTTTTACTACTTGACACCACTTGTCCATCGACAATATCTTCCACTATGGTCTTCACAGTGATGCTTTTGGTAGAGCTGCTGCTGGTGCTGCTGCTGCCACCACCACCACCTCCACCAGTACTTATCATGCTGAAAATGAAAAAAAAAAAAAAAATCTGTTATTGTATGTTTCGCACAAGCACACTCACATAAATATCCATCTTCCAACATCTCCTACCTGCTTGCTCCCCCATCCAGCAGTCTTCTGTACTCCGCAATCTCCATCTCCAGTCGGGTCTTGATATCCAGCAGCATTTTGTACTCTTGGCCCTGTCTGTCCATGTCGGCTCTGAGCTGAACAATCTGCTCCTCCAGATTTGTTACTTGAGTCTGCAGGTTCATCAGCTGCCTGGAGAACCGCGCTTCAGTGTCTGCAAGAGTTCCCTCCAGAGATGCTTTCTGTAGAATAGAAAGGAGGTGGCAGGTATGTATTACTGTAAAGTGAGAGATAGTGACCATATTTAGTGGAAGTTGTACATGTTCAATCAATCAGCTGGTAAATAAACAGCTTAAATCAGTCTGAGATGGCTCTGCTGCTTCTATCAGGTCAATTGATTAAGATTATCTTCAATTATATATCCAAAATATGGCCTTTGTGTTATTTGTTTCTTATGTGATGTTTGAAAATGCACGCAAACAAGGGGAATCAACTTGAATAAGTGAAGACCTGCGAATTTGCTTGTATGGTTTAGAAAAGGGGTGTTCAAACTTGGTCCTGGAGTGTGCTGTAGAGTTTTGCTTCAATCCTCATCAAACACACTTGAACCAGCTAATCAAGCTCTTACTAGATATACTAGAAACTTCATGTCAGGTGTGTTGAAGCAAGTTGGAGCTAAACTCAGCAGGACAACAGCCTTTCAGGACTGAGTTTGAACACCCCTGGTTTAGACTGTTTATTTCAGCTGTGGTTTTAAGGAAACCATCTTGACTCAAGATGTTTCCTGACACACTCACACATACTTACCTTGCTGAGTTCTGACTGTAATTCAATCTCCAGGCCTTGAAGGGTGCGTCTGAGCTCAGTGAGCTCAGTTTTGGACACTTGAATTGTTTCTGTACTGGCAGCAACCTCCTTAGTCAATGTTTCTGACTGCAAATAAAGAACATTTATACATTAGTCAGCCATCACTTATGGTCACAGTTTGAAGGATGGATTGTTCCAGTTTTGTTCAAAGAACACAGATTTATTTGCCCTTATCTACCTTGGTTTGGAACCAGTTCTCTAGGTCACGCTGGTTTTTGGCAGCAACATTCTCATACTGCTCACGGATCTCAGCCATCACATGATTCAGATCTACCTGTGGAGCTGCATCCACCTCTACATTCACTGATCCTGACATCTGAGAGCGCATGGCTGCCAGTTCCTACAGAGAATAGAATTTTAGGATGACATGCTTCTGAGGATAATAGTGCCTTACGTTCGACTACCTTCTCAGCTGAGAGATTTTACCTCCTCATGGTTCTTCTTGAGGAAGATAAGCTCCTCCTTTAAGCCCTCAATCTGCATCTCCAGGTCAGATCTGGCCAGCGTCAGCTCATCCAGTAGTCTCTTCAGCCCTGCAATGTCTGCTTCGACAGATTGACGCATGGTCAACTCATTCTCGTACCTGAACGAAGCAAAACAGAACGGTTTATCTGTGACATTTACCTCCATTGTGAGACACAAAAATCATTTTCAACAAAGTATGTTTTTATTTACTTGGTCTTGAAGTCATCTGCAGCCAGTTTCGCATTATCAACTGCCAAGTAGACTCCTCCGTTCACACGGGTGGCATCTTGGATCTGTCAAAGATAATGAGACTTTTTTTAAACAAATCTGTCAAATTTTAAATCATGCAGTACATATTCAAATATTGTCTTATTTTTGTCACATGCAACCACTGAACATCAACAAAAGTGCACACACAATGAGGACAGGACCACACCCATAATCCTGCAGCTATGAAAACAATGCCTTGTGCAAGAGATGTTTTAAAGTAGCATTACCTTGTCCTGCAGGTCCTTGATTGTGGCCTGGTAGGCAGAGTAATCTCTCGCAGCAGGGGAGGTTTTGCTCTCCAGAAACTGTCTGATCTTCAGCTCGAGATCTGCGTTGGCCTTCTCCAGCGAGCGCACCTTGTCAAGGTAAGTTGCTAGACGGTCGTTCAGGTTCTGCATGGTTGCTTTCTCATTGACGGTCACGTTGAGGTCCATATCACCTCCTCCGAAGCCTCCTCCAGCACCACCACCGAACCCGAAACCTCCTCCACCACCAGCACCTCCACCAAAGCCAAAACCTGCTCCTCCGCCACCGCCAGCTGCAGAGGAGATACGGACCCCACGGCCTCCTGCACCCCCATATACACTACCAGCACGCATGGAGCTAATACGGCTTCCTCCACCCATCATTGAAGAGGAAGACATGCCTCCAAGAGAAGCACCCCGCAGGGAGCCTCCACCGAAGCCCCCTCCAGAGGACACATAACTACGGCTGCTGAAGGATGTCATTGCTGCGGTGCGGAGGAGAGTTTCTTTTTTGCTGGAGGGAGAGGGAATGCGGCGCACAGACCAGGCTGATTGATTTTTATATGTTTGTGAGATGAGGTAAGGGGTGGGTGGAGGTGGAGATGGAGGAGGGGGTGAGGGGAGAATATGAACACAAAACTTTACTCTCCGCCCAATGCATGCCCAGAGGCAGAGGATCTGGCAGGTGAGGTTATTGTTGAAATGAAATCTTAAGAGCTCATAGCCCAGGGATATGTGCAGAACAGATGACAAATGCATGCAGTAACTGAAAATATGCATGCATATATCACTTGACAACATTTGTCATATAGGACGTGTGATTGTTTTGATTTGTGAACTTGATTTTCCCATGCATGTCGACAGAATAGCTTGTGCTACAGCTGGCTGTGTTACTGACTTCATAACATGTGTGCTGACAGGATGACCTGCACTTGCCAGCGGTGTCTCCAGGACAACGGAGTGCTGGATGTGATAAACACTTATAAACAGCAGGCTAAAAGCACACAGTGAAATGGGCTCTTGCACATGGAATGCAGCCAGCTTCCCCAAAACAGACCTCCCTTTGTCTTTTCAAACATGAACAGAACAAAAAAAAATAGCAAGAGAGAGAAACATTTTCCAAAGTGAACTTTTACAGTTGACAAGAGGCATCTGGAGACTTATAGCATGGTGCATGGTACTAACAGCTTGCGTAACAATTTTTTTTCTTCCGAGAGCTTGAGCCATGACTCAGATGCACCGC